GAGAATATGTGGCGAGAAGAGGCGAGACGCGATAAATATCAAAACCTGTCAGATATGTGCGAGAACCAGAAATTCGCTCTCGCCAGCATTATTTCTCACTTCTCATTTGTGCATGGTTTTCCTTTGCGAAAACTAAATCGCTTGCAACTGCTCGCTCACTCTAAATTCGCGTCTGCATAGTCGCACCCTTAAGTTTATTATCTCAAAATTTTTGATAGAGAGAGAGAGAGCGATAGTTAAAAATAATTAACAATCTAAAAATAGTTGATATATCTGATAAATTCTATAATTTTTTCTGCATCCATGTAATGATTCATTTGTTACTGTTATTTGCTTGTTTCAGTATGTTAAGTATTAATGGATATGTCATAAATGATAATTTATGTGTCTATAACAGTTGTAGAAAAATATTCCATTCACTGTTTTATAAATCTAGAATATAAGAATTATGTTTGCTAAATATTTTTAAAACTGTATAAGAATTATCTTATTATTTCAATTAAAAATGATTTTATTTATTTAAATTTATATAAAAAGTTGATTTTAATAACTAAAATGAATTTTTTAAGTGAATTATAATTATAATGCATTACATTGATATAAAAAAAACTTAAATAATTTTTTCATCCACGATGTTTGACATTTCTTGAAATTTTTACTTTCCTGGCTGTTATATGTAACAGAGAGAAAGTATGATAATTGGTCAAAAATATGACACCCCAAGATTTTTACATTTTTGGACTCAGGACCTTGAAATGTCAAGAAATGAAAAAATATTTGGGGTAATTTGTGTATGGATGTTAGTAAGTGTGGGGGGCACAATTTTGTTCATCCTCTTTGAGGCTTAATAATTCCTGTGCTTTTTGTTAAAAATTTCTGAAATTTTGCAGGGAGGTTTGTTTATTAGAGAGATTGATGCTATTAAATTTTGGAGATTAAAGATCAGGGGTGAGGAGATAAAGGGGACGTATGTATCTCCAGTAGGTTGGATATAATGACAATTTTACTTGTTATTAGCATTTACAATTTATAAAACCCATCCCTACCCTCAAAATTAAGCTTTTTGTCATTTTATAATAGTTAAAAATATAAAAAGTTTTTAATAATAAAATATAACAGATGGTGTCACCAAATTTTGGTGGGAAAGTTAAGCAACTTGTTGCTGGATTTTTTTTATGGACAAGTCATTTGATAATATTAATATATCATCACATCACTTGTTTTTAAACTTAAGAAAATATGCTTGAAGACAACTTTGATTTAAGAAACCAGTAATTTTAGATTTTTAAATCTTTACGAATAGTTTCAATTCTAATTTCTCAATGTAAAATACATTTATTCAGTGAATCAAAAACATACTACGAAGTAAAGTCAAAAAGTAGTCCAAATAGACATTATAAAATAAAACTATTTCAAACTTAAGAGGAGTTTTTGTTTTTCATTTTTTCAACATAATCTTGTATTTCACATCACTTAGACCAGGGATCGCCAAACTTTTTTGATGATATTACAACTTTTCAAAACGTCACATCGACCCCCACCAAAAAGTTTGTGTTACAAGCAAAAAGAAAAAGCTCTTACTATTTTAATATATATCTTTTAATTTTACATTTTAATATTGTAATATGTTAATAATAATTTTTGTAACTGACAATCAATGAGATGGATAAGGTTGATAATCCTTAGCAAGATTAGCAATATTCGGTTCAAAATTTCTAAGTTTTAGTTTTTTCATCGACCCCCCAATAATGTTATATCAACCCCCCCAGGGGTCGGTATAGACCACTTTGGCGACCCCTGACTTAGATCAACAGCAGGGATGGCACTACCATATGGGCAAACTGGGACATTTGCCCAGGGTAGTAAATAGTAAGGGCAACATATTTTCATAAATTTATACAGAATTTTCAGGCATATTATTTCTTTTAATAATTTAAAAATTTTTATTTATAGTACACAATGCGAGTTGAATATTAATTGATGGAGCATGATATGGCTATATCAAACATCGCAAAGCTTGATATATATATACATAGCCAAATGATCTATATAATGAAATGGCACCTAATGTCTACCTCTAGTAGCAAATTACTTAGTATTAATTATTAAAAATAGCAGATATATAGTCTGAGTATTTATGGCAATCATTTGGCTTTGTAGCAAGATTTGAACTTCATACTTAGTTCACCTACTGAACTAAGTGCTATGAAGAGATTATGTTAAAAAAAATTAAAAATAAAAAAATTCTCTTAAGTTTGTAATAGAACATTTTATTTCATGATATCTCCTTACTTTTTGACTTTCCTTCATATATAACTTCCTATTTTGATTTCTTGAATTAATTTAATTAATTGTTAATTAAATATCTGACAGGGTATCAGGCAATAATGACTGTTAGTTCATTAGTGTCTCACTGACTTTATTTTTATTTTGAATATAATTAAATCATTTGACTAATTTCAATCACTATTTCCATCACACTAAATTAATCTCAAAAAAAGCATAATTAACATTAATTATATCACATATAAAAATAATTTCATGTGATATCATCAAAATTTCCCTGTAAGAGTAATATCTTTATAAACTATTTCTAAAATTCTTAAAAAATTCTAATATTAACAATACAAAAATTCCATTAAAAGATGAATTTCAGTAAATAAACACGTATCCTCTTTAAATGTAATTCATCAGTGGTAATGCCATGCTTAGAAAAACTACAATATATTTCACTGGTAAATCAATTAAGCTGAACATATTAAAATAATAAATGTAATTTCAATTGAAAATAAATCATCTCAGTATATCAGAGCATAATGAAATAATATTCAATCAATGTTTGAAAACAATTTTAATAAAAGTAATTTAAGACAAAAAATTTAGAATTCTTAAATAATAAAAAAAGCACAAAGTAGCAATTAGCCATAGCATTACACCAAATAGAAAAAAATGAAATAAATAATCATAATTATTGATGGTGATAATCATCACAAACAAAAAGTTGAATATACAGCACATACAACAGAAATGACATCAACTTACATATTTCACTTCAAATAATTAAATTAAATTATATTAGATTTAGTATATGTCTCTTTAATCCAAATTAGTAAAAACGGTAGACTTTCTCTCAGCTATAAGATTAGGTATTCCTTTATTGTAAATCACAAATGCATTTCAGGTTTATATGAGCTTCAGTGTAAATGCTCAGAAGACAGAGTAATGCTTTTCTAATTGTATGACTCTCACAATGATATTTTATACAATCCAAAAAAACACATTGTATAAAATATCATTGTGAGAGTAATACAATTAGAATAGCATTTATAAAAAAGAGTATTTATAAAAAATTTCCACCAAATACTGAAGCTTTGAAAATGAAAATTTAATGCAAAATGAACATTTTTGATTGCCTAAAGCAACCATCATCAAATCGTTTGAGACTACATACTATAATATCAAAAACTTACTAATACACCTTATCTTGCAGCTGAAGTTTATAAGAAAAATTTCTAACGTTTTCGGTCTTGTTAAAAGACCTTTCTCAAGAAAAATAAAGCAAATAAAATAACAAAATGTAAATCGAACACTTAGTACAACGAACAAGTTTTTTGAATATTTTCGAACTAGCCTAGTTCGAAAATATTCAAATAGTTTATAAGAAAGTTTATAAGAAACTTTTCTTATAAACTTCGGCTGCAAGATAAGGTGTATTAGTAAGTTTTTTGCAACCATCATCAGGTTAAAGAAATATTCTAAATAAGAACATAAATTTGGAACAGATAAATTTAAAAAGTTGGGATGATGTCTGATTGATTAAAAATTAACAACTGACTTCAAATAATGATGTTCATGCTTTTGGAAGTGTGTTGTTATCTTTAAAATTGTTTAATGTTCTATCTCTGTAAATCTTGTAAATTTCTAATTTCTCCAGATGTTTGAGTTGGTTTAATTGGCCTGTGTGACATAAAAGTTTGGCTCCATCAAGATGCATTTGAACTTGTTGATCTGTTGCAAAATGTCCAGTGCACTTTTGTGTTGTGACCTTTTCCAGTGATGCTAAATGCTCCTTTAAATACTGGTTGAGTAGACAGGCTGTAACCCTAATGTACTGCAAATTCTGGCTATCCCTGTTTAGTGTTTAGTGGATGATTTTATATTATAATCTAGTTTCTACGATGTTTTATTCATCATCAATATGAAATTCTTCACAAAATTCTAATTTAAGCTTTAAGTTTGTTAAAAAGTTTTATAATGAAATATAAATTATAACCTCAGTCAATATAACCAATGAGAATTTTCAGTTATATTGACTAGAAAATGCATTTCACACATAAAAATGATGTAAGAATTAATTATTGATACAATGCAATGAATGATAATTTTTTACTTAAGTTCTAAAGCAGGGGTGTCCAGCCCGCGGGCCGCATGCGGCCCAAGGCAAGTTCCAATGCGGCCCAATAAACGTGTAAACAAAACCGAAAAATTGTTTTAGTTTTGTTTTATTTATTTATTTCGATGGCATAAACTCAAAAAAGAAGTTTCACAAAGCCGTAAACTTTTATACATATTTAATTTTTGAGCGAAAAGGAAATATTTTCAAATACCTGGAGATGTGTGAATGACGAAGAAATACTGAATAAAGCTGAAGTTGTGACTCAAAGGAGTATANAAATTTTTTCTTTTAATTAAAAAGTAATATTTTAATAATCAGATGAAGAATTAAGTTTATTGTAAGAAAATAAGATTAATAGGATAAACTTATATAAATTCTTCGAAATGAAAAGATAATTTTTAGTAATTTAACAGCATGCATCATTGTCTTCCATATTAGCATAAGACTACGGTACACGAATAAAAAGATTGATTTATTTTAATAATTATTATTTGTTCGTTTTAAATAATGACTTTTAACAAATGTAACTATAAAGAGTTATTGATAGAAATGTGCATAATTCTCTAATGAATGAAAAATGTCTGCCAATGAACTAATTCCTCACCAAAAATGATCATAATATTTCTCTCCATTTCCGATTTTCACTGATGAATCCTTAGTTATAATGTATTCTGGAATGTTCAGATGACGATTAATCGATTAATATTCGTATTCATTTAATGTTATCTGCTTCTTAAACTCAAAAAAAAACCTTCGACGACAGAAAAGGTTCCACCCAGTCACGTGATCTGTCCAGTCTCAACGTCACGTGATCCAGTATTTTCCCGAAATGCATCGGGAACGTTCCTTTTCTTTTGGAAAGAAGGAAGCCTAGACGAGTTTTGATGCTTGCTTTTGTTTTAAATATGACAAAATATCGGCGTTTCGTTTGTTTTTCTATTTAATTTTATTGTTTGTTTGTCGTCGTTTATATAATATCAAATAACTTGAGTCAGATAGCTATTTATATAAATTTATGTAGTTAGTCTTCCAGACTTTAACTTTAAACCTTTCAATTTTGTAATTTCAGTAATGTATGTTGACATTTCAAATGAAATAAATGTTAGGATTATAAAATCATAACAGATTTTATTATCTTAAAGTTCATTGACGTATGATTTGAAATATACAATATAAACATATAGGTGATATGTTTATGGTGAAGTTTTTTGTTTTTGAAAAAATTAAAGTATTAATTATAGATTATAAAAAATTAAAAATTAATATACAGAATTAACTTGATTCACATTGTGCATTGAAAATATATATTTTAAATATTTTTTATTTTTAAAATTAAATCATAAAGCATTGTCAATTTATATATCGGATAAAACAAAGTTTACAATTGTGTTTTTAATTTTATGGAAGTTAAATAGTTAAATATGTATATATATAATGAATGTTAATAATTTAATGAAAGATAAAAATTAATTAAATTATAAAAAATTTTAAATATTTGACTTTTTGATTGACTGACACATAAATAACAACACAAAGCCCGAATAGTATATGTCAAATTACTTTATTCTAATCATTTAATTATAGCCTGATATTTAGGCAATCGTTTGGTAATTTATGATTGACTGACTTTTTTAACTAATTGAAAATTTATTGTCTTAATTCTGCTCTTAACTTATGTACTAATTAGATATTAATAAATTTATACTAATTAAAATTATATATGTAAAATTTTAAACAGTAACTTTATAAGTAACAAAGTTGGTAATTATGTAGAATTAGATAACCTAATAAATAGGATTTAACAATTTGATGTGATAAGACCTCCAAATTTTTAACAATTTGGAGGTCTTATCACATCAAATTGTTAAATCTTATTTATTAGGTTATCTAACTCTAATTCATAGTCATGGGCTAAAAGCCTCATTTATTATTAAAGTTGGTAATGTTTATATTTTTTCTGTAATTTTAAGATTTTGATCAGTCAGTTTAGTTAAGGATAACATTTTTCCAAACCAAGTCAATGAAACATTATAAAACAGATCAATTAGTTTGTTTTTGTATTTTGTTGTTTTCTTATTAGTCAGAAGTATAGCGTAATTCAGAATTTTCCAATAATTTAAAACTTCACATTCATATTCTTCATAGATGATCAATTGATACATAAGCCATGTTCATTAGATGAGATCTCTATTGTTATCTAAATTCTGAAATCAAAATTTTTAAATCGATGTTTATAACCAAAAAGTATATTTGGTTATATATCTCTTATACTTAATTGTAAACTTAAATACATTTGGTTATATATCTCAACTGATATTCTCTTTGAAATATCAGTTGGTAAAAGATGCTGAAATTTTAGTTATTTATAGCATATTTATTTCAGTTTAATTGGTCTTTAATTTTTGTCTTATGATTTTTCAATTTAGTGTTTAGTAATAAACAAAACTTTAAAATACAGTGGTTGATCGGTTAACGAACATAATCCATTCCAAGACTTTGTTCGTTATCCGAATTGTTCATTAACCGATTATTGATTTACCATAGGTTTTTATGGGAATTTGAATGATTCGTTCCGGAGACTCCAAAAAATAAAAAATATATACATTTTTACTACGTTTAGTTATGTGTAATAGTAAAAATACATATATATGTAGTCTTGCATTTTTATTAGTCATGTTTTTTCCATTTGTGGGGGTTAAAGAATCTGTCCAAAGTTGATTGCTTTTCTCTTTTCTTCGGGATTTTTCGGAAGTAATTAATAGTATTGTAATTGTAGAGATCCCCAACCCCATTAACCCTATTCTGGTTTGGATGCCACTTGGATGATCGTTGTTCTGACATCCTCCCACTTCTTTAAAAGATCTTTAGTAGCAGATGTCAACATTGGTCCTCTTTCATCTTCCTCTTTTTCAAAAGAAAACACATTTCGCTGAGTTTCTTGGTATTTTTCATTTGAGAGTTTTTGAAGTTCTGTCGTCAGATCAGTTTCAGGTTCCATTATGAGCTCTAAAATGCTCTTTATTTCTCAGATGTGATTTTCATTACTCCATTAGCAGCTTGAGACTTCTTGATATATCTTTCAAAGCTAAGATTGTGCTTGCTGTAGACCTGTTCAAGCCATACTGCCTAGCAACATCAGACATCTTTTGCCCACTTTCTACCTTGGCTGTTATCTCTTACTTGTTTTCTACGGTGAGCACAGTTCTTGACACTTCTCTTTTTAGGCTTCATAATATTATCAGTTTCTTTTTTAAATAAAAAGTTCAGAAAAGCACTTACAAAAATTCAGAGAACAGAAATCAACTAGCCCACAAAAAATTATTTAAATGCAAGGCCCGGATGAAATTCAAAATTTGGTATTAAAACGTTAACGAATATCCAATGGGACAGTTAAACTTTCACCTTTCGTAAATAAACCCCGATGCAAAACTTAACAAGTGCCTGTCCGACAGTCTCGAGAAGACTATCAAAAATTATTTGTCAGAAAGGTTAACAAAAAGCTGGAATTACAAGGGAGAGTTTCAAAATTCGGAGGAATATTATACTATCTCCCGCAGTCCGAAAGATTTCGAATTGTTACCTGAACACAAGGGAAAATCAATTGGTATTCGTTATTTTCCATTGCTTTTTTTAATGTTTGTTCAGTAAAGTGTTTCTTATTCAAACGTGTTCGTTGTCCGATCATAAAAATCTTTCGTGAAAGTGTTCGTTATCCGATTTGTTTGCTATCCAAACCGCTCGTTAACTGATCACCCACTGTATTATATTTTTACCAACATTTTCTGTGGAAAAGATTTTGTTTATTTTTATCACAAGATATTTAAAAGAATTAAAGTTAATACATTTACTTGACTTTTATATAGTACATAAACACAATAGAACAGTTTTTTCCAAATGTTGTTTATTTTTTTTATAAAGAAAAAAATATTATAAAATAATGTAGAGGTAATAGAATTATTTTTTCATTAAAGAAAATATTCTCTATTAAGATAATCAATCTTAAATATATTATTGCTATGCTAAAGTAAAACAATGCAATTATTCAGAGAAACAGTTTTATTTTGCCAAGAGATTTATATACAATTTTATAAGATTAAAAAATTTTTACAAGAAAATCCTTTTCGAGTTAAATTACTCAATTTACACCAACTTCCAAGGATTAAAACACTATGACATTAAAATTCTCAACAAGGAATTTTATTTAGATTAAAACATTTCATATTGTCTTTCATATGCATTTTGTCTCAAACACATTGAGGCCTCTTCAGTCAAAAATACCACAACCTTCTCAAGGTGGCACTTTATGCCATGCTATCTTATCCCAGTATGCATCCAGCACTATTCCTTTATTCAAATTAATGTTGTTTACATATTTTATTATATCGTAATGTTCTTTAATTCTTCATTTGATTAAGTTATTTTCTTAGTTATTTTTAATACAATGTTAGAACCATGGCAAATCTTTATTTTTTAATCTAATGGATGATTCATGTTCTTTTATTCTTTTCTAACTGCTGTTTTGTTTCTCTTATATAACATTTTGGTTGAGAGCATGTAGTTTTTATTCAGATAAAATAACTTAATCAAAAAATTGTTTAAACTTAAAATGAATAATAGGAATAAATTAATATGTTTAGTTTTATAAATTATTAATGTTTTTATTAATACAAATTAACCTTCCCACAGAATGGCTATAATTTTGAAAAAATAATACATTTGATTTTGAAGAGAATGCATCATATATTTTTATCATTTAAACACAAGCAAATTTAAAGTGAGATGATGATAATTTTATTGCAGCAATTTTAGTCAATATTTTAGTCAATAATTATTAAAGATACTGAACAAGTATGAAAGAGTAATGAATTTGTTTTGGAAAGTACTTTTATAAATAATTTTTCTATTATGCAACATATCATAAATAGGGTGATCATTCGTCGTGGATTGACCATGTAACATGTTCAATGTTACAGGTCTTATATCTGTCAACCTTAGACGTTGACTTCATAGCTAGGAAAGGCTGATTTTGGAATGCAAAGACAAAGAAATAAAACCAATTTGTAGGAAGATTGTCAACAAAATTTGTGACATTTTAACCAATTATTCAATCTTTATTTTCTTTATTACAATAATAGTTTATAATTTTGGCCTTTCCTACTAGATGGATTACTTCAATAAACACATCTGCCAAAGAGCCTTAATTGATTATAACGAAGTTTAATGTGAAACAAAAAAACTTTTAGACTAATATTTTTGACTACTAACTTATACATTCATACAGTTTTTTGAAAAAGATTGTGTTCTCTATTTTCTCTATTTTTTGTTTTCAATTCTACTTAACTCCAAAACATCTTGCATTATGGATAGAAGTCAGCTTTGTTTTCTTATTAATGACGCCATTTCTGTAAGAATTGAAATTTATAAGGCTAGTAGAAATGTCTCAGCTATAAATTCTAAAGAAATGTACACAATTTCATGTGCATGGAAATTTATTTTTGAAATATAACAAGTTCTTTAATATGCAAGTGATGACACAAGTGGCAACTTACAACTCAATAATCATTCTTTTTAATCATATTTATATATTCTGTTTTATGTTAAATGGTATTTTTGTTATATATCTGACAATGACTGATAAAGTTGGTTAAAAATGTTAGTTTTATTAATGTTTTTTTTTTTGCTAGATTTTTGGTGTTGTGATTATTTCTTATTTATCCAGTTCCTTTATTTTTCATTTGCATGAAACATTACTTAAGATGAAAAACCATTGATTACACAGAAAATAAATAATAAAAATTAAACTTAACAAATGATTTTGGTGTTACTGAAACCAAAATTTGCAGAGAGCACCACCATGCAATAGCTCAAATTTTGTTTGTGAATTAAAATTGTACAAAAGTCTGAATTTGGCATATGAAAAGTGAATTAGGGTATCAATGTCTTGTGTACAAAAAGTCAGTTGTCAGAAAGTTGAGAACCACCTGTATTTGATTCTGACCACAAAGTACGATATTATTATATTGATATAGTTCATTGATTTTATATTATATATTTAGTATTGTATATATATATAATCTATATCATATATATATGTACTGTATATGATATTACTGATTTTAGAAAATATGCAATAAACAAGTATTTGATTTCTTTGATGCAATATGAAAAAATTAAAAATAATGCTGTTTTTGTTTGATAGGAACTTGTTAAATTATTCATAATTGAGTCAAGATATGATGAATTTTAACAAAGAATGTTAAAAAGTATTAAAGTTACTGGAATCACAATATTAAATATCATATTACTAATTATTTTAATCATCATAATCCTTGATGTCATAATATTTGTATTTGTCATATCATTTCAAACTTGTGTTCCAAATGGCCATTTACAGCCATTGGGATTCCATGCATCACCTATAAAAGATGGAATTAAAATATTAAATTATTTTCCTCATCCAAATGAATTTTGGAATGAATATGTTGCAAATGGAAAACCAGTAATTTTTCATAACATAGCAAAATCATTTAATGCTTTTGGTTTATGGACTGATGATTATTTGAGGTTAAGTATATTTCTATATTTATCAAGATCAATTATTAAAATACATTAACAATATCTTATTTTCTATTAGATTTTAATTGTTTTAATGTCTGAAATTTATATTTCATGTAGACTTCATTATGGTCATATGGAAGTGACAGTAGAAAGACAGAAGAAAGAAAACAGAACTTCAGAAGTAACTTTAATGCTATTTTCAGAATTTTTACAAAAGTATCAGAAAGAAGATTTATATGTGATTACTGTTTTGCATTCTGAATGGCTATGTATGCACTTTAGAATAAATTTTTATTTGGAAAAACTTTAATGAGATTATTTATGACTTTTATTTAATTTTGAAGCTGATATATCACTTCCCAAGCCAATCCTGTGTGGAAATCTTCAAAATTCTTTAAATCATATTAACTTATGGATGAGCAATGGAGAGACAAAATCTGTACTTCATAGGGATTCTATGGATAATATTCATTGTATTTTAGATGGGAGAAAAGAATTGTTTCTTGTAAACAAAGTATGCATTTTTTTAAAAATCTTAATAAAATAAACATTTATGAGATTATCATAGGATACTGATATTATGTATTTAATTTGGTAATTTGGAATTTTTTTAAGAATCAATGCTAATTATTCCTTTCTTGTTGCTAGCTATATCCAATAATCCAAATCACTAGCTATATTCCAATTAGAAAATTCTTGAGAATTCCATAATCCTGCATCAGCAGGTGTTATAGGAACACCTACTGGTAACCAATGATCCAAAACTTGTGGTTTAATTACGTTTATTTTGGTAGATTACCAGTACATACATAACTAGATGCATTTCAGGCTGACTTATATTTTGGATTACCAGTTCTTATCATTTATGGATGTTTTATATTATTGTAATCCATAATCTAATATACTGTACCAGTTCTTATCATTTACTGTATGTACTGGTGTGAAATATGTTCCATATCATATTCATGTACTTTCATTTTTAAAGAGATTGTTGATTCAATACAAAGTAAGATATTACTATTATGTTCAGTTTATCATCATTTTTATGTTTAATTAATTTTGTACTTACACCTAGCTCTTAATAATTTTAGTTACTGATGAGGAGCTGTAAAATGTAAGTCAGCCCAAAATGCATCTAGTTAAGTATGTAATCAACCAAAATAAATGTAATTAAACTAAGTTTTGGATCATTGAATTACTAGTAGTGTTCCTACACGACTGCAGATGCAAGATTACTTAATTCTCAAGAATTTTCTAATTAATGCTAATTGTTTAAATTTTATAGCTATGTAATATATTTCCTTATGTTTCTCTTTAAATAGTAATTGTTAATACATTTGGCTTGATTACATGTTTTTGGAGTTATGTTAAAATTTTCAGTTTATTAAATACAGTCAAGTCCATAGATTTCTTCAGATTATCTGTACTTCATGCAATGCTTTCTCCATGAAAAAAAAGACAGACTCATTATCCAAACTTTTTACCAATCGTATATGGAATTTAAAGTGCTGTCAATAGAAAAAGTTTGAAAAATTATATTTTGTACTTGAGTTGTATTATAAATAATATGTAGTAAATAAGGGTCTTAATAGAAGCCATGTTTGGAAAACATTTAAACTAGCTTCTAATAGGGACAATATGGTATAAAATGGTAGATTGACTTTAAGCCCACCTTGTAGTCTTATTTAAAGAGTTCAGCACATCTGAAATTTTATTTATTAGTCTCATGAAATCAGTTATGTAATTAATTAAAAGATATAATTTTACTTGAATAAAATATGTTTTCAATTAAATTTTGATTTATTCTTTAAAAAGATTCATATTTTTTAGGAATTAAAAGACTATATTATTTATGACGATAATGAAGAGTATAGTACTGTTGATGTGGATTCTGTTGACATGTATCAGCATCCTGGCTTACAAGAAATATCATGGTATAATGCTAGCATTAATTCTGGTGACTGCATCTTTATACCATATATGTAAATATATTTTTATTTTTGATTGGATCATTATTTAGATCATTTTGTTTAACAGTTATAGAAAATTTTTACTAAAAGGTATCTAATAGGTGGTTCCATCAAGTTACATCATCTAAAGGAAGAAATGTTGCAATAAATTGGTGGATGAATCATCTTTTATGGTTTAATTTGACAGATTGTAATGATAAGGAGCTAGAAGAATGGCTTCCTTCTTATAGTTTTGAATTTCCAAACTTATCATCAAAACAAAAGTAAGTATTCAGTAAAAATGAATTATTTAAAAATTGACAAAACTTTAGATAAAATTGTAGCATTTTTTATTTAATGTTCCTGATTCATGTGCATGTTTATAATATAATAATATTTAACCAACTGCCTAAATAATCCACAAAATATGTTGTTTCAGACTAGTTGTGTATTTAGGAGGAGGCCAAGGAGCCATGGTCTCACCTGCCCTTTGCCATGGCCTCACCTGGTGTAATCTTTGGTTTCAAATGCAATTTTGCATTTAAAATGTTCAATACTTTAAATCTGTTTTTACAAATTATTGAGCTGCAATTTTCAAATTGCAGACTTGTACATTCCCATTGTCATCTGTCTTTTGTTAATCAGAACAAAATCTAACTAACTCCATTCAAGAATGGAGTTAGTTAGATGAAAATAGAGACCAGTGGATCTATTTCGAGTTGTATCGTTAAGCTAATGAATCGTTAAGAATATGATAAAAACCACATGATTGGCATTTAATCAACTGTGAAAATGCTATTCTGTGCCATACATTTCATTTTTGGTTCCGATAGCCATGTGTGATAATTAAGCTTTTCTTATCGATCATTCTCAAAGTGCCATTAGGAACGTAATGAAAGTAAAAAGAACATGACAACTTTAGATGTAAGGATGATATTACTTTGTGAGCATTTGGAGAGAGAGAAAATTAGCATTAGACATTGTGAATCTGTTTTATCTTGGAGATAATGCTTTTCAGCCGAATGATACACACTTTAAAGAACTTTATTATCTCCGAAGCCATTACTAATACATTTATGCAATGAATTATGAGAAAAGCTAGAACCGAAGTGTTTTAACTAATATCTTGAACTGACAACTTTGCTGGCTGTATTGTCCCTATTTTGATGACATTTTAACACAAAAAATTTTGGCTATTTCTGGTACACAACAATACTAAAAACACATGCTTTGCTTGAAAAATGGCTGGTTGTAGTCACATGACAAAAAGACAATGTTAACTAAATTGTGATTAGTTAAAACATTACAGCTATTGATAACATGGAACCCAGATGTATCTCAACCAATTACCCATAGTGAAACATACTTAATGTGGAGCAGAGAATAGCAATTTGTCTAAGGTTTGTTAACTGCCTTTCACTACAGAGACTTATCAAATGTCCCATATATCACTTTCATTGTGTTATCAGAAGAGCTCAGAATAGGTCCCCAGATATGGAAAGCTTAGGGGCTGGAGGCCCCAATTAACTATATATGAACCTCCAGTCTGGACTGGAAATCATGTGATTTCAATTCAAAATTTTTATTTAAATTATGATTAAAAATTGCAACCTAGTATTGTGATGATGTCACAATAACAATTTTTTATTATTTGTTTATTTTAAAAAATATGACTACTGAACATAAATAAACCTTGTGTCATATACATATTATACAATATTTACCATTGCTTATCTGATTGTGAAAACATTGCATCACGGATTATAAAAGTGCTTTTTTGAACTGTCTTTGAAGGAAAAAACTTTCTGCACTTTATGTAGGCTGGCTGCCTTGCAAACTTGATTAACAACCTGATAATTCCTATACATAGTTACTTAGAGATAAGAGTTATTAACAAATAACAAATACAAAATATAGATTGTGCTGTCAAAGATTCTCTCCATTGCTTCATTCTTTTCCTCAGGAAAGAAAATGTAACTTATTCATTTAAATAGTATCTTATTAATTACTGTTGGGAATTGCTTATACAGGGAAACCTGCTAATGTGACTACTGAAGGGATCAGCCCAAAGTTGTTTTACACAGGTGTTCACATTAGCAAGTTTTACTGTAGTTCTCATTCACATGTAGGATTTTTAACATTAGTGGTGGATTCAGAAGTACCCAAAGAAAGAATAACTAGGGACTTATTAATTCAAATTTTTTAAAATTTGAATTAATAAGTCCCTTCCATTAATATGTGCATGAGGATTGTATTGAAGATGGTCTGATAAATCATAATTGCCTTCATAAATGTTTTTAAAAACAATGTTTTGAAGTTCAACAAAAAAATTTTAATTTGTTATTGTATTGATGGGGATCATTTGTCTTACAAGACAAAGGATCCCCATCAATACACATTCATCAACAAACCCACATCAATACAACACAAAATTCAATAGTGATCCTTTGTCTTATCAGACAATCCTTTGTCTTATCAGACAATCCTTTGTCTTATCAGACAAAGGATCACTATTGAATTTTGTGTCAAGTTGGTGGGCAGTCTCTAGACCATTCTCCAAACAGCCCATACCTTGCACTCAAATTTCTGCTCTTCTCCAACATTAGAAAGAGTTAAGAGGCAGAATGTTTAGCATAGACCAAGAAGTAAAAGCTGCCACATCCACTGCTTAACACTGAATCTCAGAAAATGATCTGCAACATATGTTTGAGAAGCTAGTGCATCTCTAAAAAGTGTATAGTATATGAAGGCCACTATTTCAAAAAGGAAACCCACACCAAACCTCCTAATGACTTGGATTCTGAATAGTGATCTCAGTCCATAAACTTTCAAAATAGCCCTTGTAAATTAAATCTATAGTTATGTTAAATTTTTTATATCTTATTCAATCATTAATTTCAGCATATTTAAAAAAGAAAAATAAACTAACAACATGATTTTAGTTGATATTATTGGTATATGTAATTTAAAACAGTTGATTGCTATAAGTGAATAAATTACTGCAATAACTGAAGGTTATTGCAGTAATTTATTTACTTGTAATTTACAATGTATATTTAATTCACAGTAATTTACAATGTATAAATAATTCAGCAAATTGACAAATTTATTAAATGAACTAACATTTTTTACCTTGTTTAACGGTCATCCTCAGGTTCTGATGTTAGAACAAAAAAATAGAACAGAAACAAAAATTTAAAATACAAAACTATCAAATGATTTAAAACATATTGAATGTCACGTGTACAAAGTTAAAACATAAAAGTAATAAAAATAACAAAATGGAATTAAAATAAATAAAAGATCATACACTAAATAGAAATAAAATAAAATAAAATAAAAATTATGATACATAAGACAAAGGTAAAAACAAAAACAGATGATAAAATAAACTTAATTTCAAAATATGTCCTCCAGGCATGCAACAAGGGTGCCACATCTTTACTGTTAATTGTGGTCCCTTTATTAAGTGCTTTATATAGGATGTCCTAGTAAGACTGCATAAACTATGCAGAGCAAGAATCCTGGCTCAGAGTACTTAAAAAAATGATCCAAAAACTATACCTCTGCAATCCATAGTTTTTGAGAAAAATGTGAAAGAAAAAGTATGACATCACATCCAGTGCATGGAAAATAAGCTTTATTGAAAACATTCAGCATAATAACTATTACCCCTCATTATGCTTATGAAAGGGGAAAATTTACATAATAAGACTGATGATAGATGTATGTCTGTTATGCAAATGAACAGCCATTGTTTGGCTCATAAAGGTACCATCTGGAAGCTACTGGTAATCTTTGCATGGTGAAAATGTATTCCATTTGTGAATATTGTGTCATGTACAGTACTTTATCTTCAGTGAATGTAATGGTAATGCCTTACGAAATGTGAGAGAGTTTATATCATCGCTATATGTCATGCTGTCATCCCAATATCATCTTCAGGTTGGATGACAGACTGAGAAATACAAGAAGCATTTGCCCATCAGAAAATCTCCACAATGTTGATGGAAGAATTCATGGCAGGCTTACAATATCGCAGAAAGCTGCAATACTATGATGGATTGAAGCAAATCCAGAGTTGACTACATGTGCATTAGCCAGGCAGTTTAATTAAGGCGAGTAGGGAATAGGCCATGGGGTTCCTTTTGCATACAGTACAAAGTTTGGATCTTTATGGCATATCCAGTTAGATCTTGTTCAACAGTTTGTTGTAGGTGACTATTTTGAAGGGTTTAGTTTTCTCAGATCTGGATTTCAAATGAGAATGGTCCCACTATATTAAGTGGTGAAGAAACTAGACCAGTATCACAAAGTTGTAGCCAAACAATAAATATGGTCAAGTTCCTTTTGTCTGAGAGATACATTAGAACAGTGAGAAAAGGCTCTTTTTATGAGGGCCCTAAAGGCAACAGACTTAAATGCAGGCAGATCATGAGAAGCAAATGGAATAAAGAGAATTGTGAGCTTTTCAATAGATATCAGTGGTAAGAGTGCCTTCCTTCAAAGTGATGAAGAGATCCAGGAAATGGACTTGTATGTCACTCTATTGCTCCAAGTTTGTTTGATCTGTAGGGTTTGTTATTGATGGTACCAAGGAAAGTAATCAAGGAAAGTACTCATTGGTATATCTCTAGATTGTAGATATACAGTGCCTTTAAATAAGAAGGAAAAGTGACAAATGATATGAACCACATCCAGTCATTCCTCTTCCTTTGAAGGTACTGCAACGGGTAATCATGTTTCTGGTGCATTTTGAGAACTGGTCCTTCAATATTTGGAGCAGCAGGTATTTGTGGCCTTTGAGGATCACATCCTACTTTACTCCAGGTAAGATCACAACATCCTTATTGTCTAATCCTATGTTCCACCTATTCAAATCTTCCTTGATGCCATCAATAACAATCCCTTGATATTAATGTTAAACTTGGAGCAATAGAGTGATTAACAAGTCCATCTCATGGATCTTCTCATCACTTTAAAGGAAAACACTCTTACCACTGATGTCCATTGAAAAGCTTCTCACAATCCTCTTTATTCCACCTGCTTCTCATGATCTGCCTGCATAGAAATCTATTGCCTTCAGAGTCAAAAATGTTACTTCATTTAATAAATCTGTGTTCTGTGCTGGATTTTTTAAGTTATCTGCTACAAGTAATGCAATTAAACATATTCTGTAAAATATTTTGAGTTTGAGAATATTTACAATTTCCATATCACTTGAAGTTGTAATTTTTGCTTGCTAAAGATAGATCAACTACAGGCATAGACAGTGATAGGGTAG